TTGTTTTTGTTAAAAGAACGTAATTAAAACTATACGAACAGTGATTGAGTGATTGTTTGGTTTTGTGCCTGTATCTAGCCCCAATGACGCCCACTAAGCCCGTGAACGCTAATGACAAAGTGAATAGACGCTCTCCGACATCAGAAGTGGGATCGGTGCAGGCACAAAATGTACACGATTCAACCGGGGTCAACGACGTTTTGCAAGCTCTGTTTGAAGTGCATCAAAACAGCATGCAACGGATCGTGATATACAGCCCTTCGCGTAACAAGCATCAATCAACTTCGACTTCTGACCACAACAATACGGCTGCGGCTACGACGAGGCCCCCGGTGAGCTGCTACAGATGTGGTGTTGAGGGTCACATCGCATCACGATGCACGAAAACCTGGACAGCTACAAAGAGCAGATTACAGCCTGCTGCTACATCCAGCATTGTGAAACGAGTGGACGTATGCGGAGTGAAACCCGTCACTGGGGTGATCACATAATTTGGTGAGCAGTTTTCATTTTGGTTTGATTCCGGGGCTGATTGTTAGTTAATAGAAAGACTGTATGGTGTTTGAAGTATTTAAATGTTTAGCGTGGTGGCTCAATGAGTTGTTTGTAAGACTTTAGTAGAGTAGTGGTTGTAAAGTTTATGCTATGACGCCATAGAGGAGAGGAGGCCATTAAATTGTTGTTTAACAAGGAGGCTGTTAAGTGAAACGGCGAGGTGGCTGTTAAGTGCAACGGCGAGGTGACTGTTTAGTGTAACGGCGAGGTGACTGTTTAGTGCAATGGCGAGGTGGCTGTTAAGTGCAACGGTGAGGTGGTTGTTAAGTGTAACGGCGAGGTGACTGTTAAGTGTAACGGCGTAGTGGCTGTTTGGAAAGTACTTAATTGAGTATACAACAGTGAGGTTGTTGAGGTACAGATTCCATACGTAACGATGAATTGTAAGGCCTATTTCAATTAGAATAGCAAATATTTCGAATGAAGTTGTTATGAAAAGAAAATCATTTGGTGTGGTCAGGATTGGCCGATGTACTGCACATGAACCATTTCTTTTTTTACAGACAGCGAGCATGCTGGTTCTTCAACATCACACGAGGACGTGTGATAGGTCAGGATGGCCGTGTCGGAGGATGTGACGAGTACAGTTTCTTGTTGAATGTCAATCGCGAAAAGGCTATTGTTTACACTTTAAATAATTTTATAAAATCTTAATTTAATTTGAGTTTATTAATTACAATTTTTGTATTGTTCAGTAACTTAACAATTTAATAAAAGTCTCTTATAAATCATCTTATGTCGCGTCCAATCAGAACAGAGCACGTGCCTCGAGTGGGGTCGAGGCGCCATCTTGATTTTCACAGGTGGGAGGTAGTTTTTGAGCGTATTTAAAGGCGAGGAACTGATCGTAGCGGTTCATTACTGGAAAGGTGATACGGTAGTTCAGTGAAGTCAGATTGGTACCTTGAACCCACTGCTCGGTTGTTACGTTATTTAAGTGTCCTTAGTGTAAAGTAAAGTGTGTGTGAAACATTTTTATTTTGTTTTTGTTAAAAGAACGTAATTAAAACTATACGAACAGTGATTGAGTGATTGTTTGGTTTTGTGCCTGTATCAAGCCCCAATGACGCCCACTAAGCCCGTGAACGCTAATGACAAAGTGAATAGTCGCTCTCCGACATATATTATAGTCATATGAGAGGCATTTCAACTTGTTCATTGAAAAAAATTGAAAAATGTAAAGAAAAATTTATAATCATTCCATTCACTTGTATAAATATTGTAAATTAATTTGCTATTGTCCCAAGTTTAATTTTTAACTGCAAAAAAGCATTTAAAATTAACAAATGCATGTAAAAAACAAAATCAATCAAATCTAATCTCGGTCGAAAATATCCCACGGGTTCAGTTAACCTACTGTGTATTTGAATTAGAATCATTTTCTCATTGTTTTGTTTTCCTTTAATATTTTTGAAATATTTATCTGTTAATCGAACAAATGTGATACTGTAGAACACCCCAACATTGCCTGCTTTTTTCAAATAATCGTTACTATTTTTGGATGTTTCCATGGCAACCTGAGTATTTTAAAGTGATAACTTCTTAACGGAGGGTAAACCGCTTCGTTACGTAACGCGTAACGGCGCCAGTTTGTCTGGCTCCCTTCTTTTCGCGCGTCAGAAATATAACATAATCAGAGTCAGAAATATAATCAGAAATATAATGCCAGAAATATAACCTACTTTTCCCCAAAGTCAATAGATTTTGCCATAATATTAAGATATTTTTGCGCATCAAAGATTTCTTTATAAATTGCTTAAATGGCAATGATACCCCTGAAGGCAATGTTGGCGTATTTCACGGTAAAATTAAATAAGACAACTGTGTTATTAATAAATACAAATGCGAGTTAAGACAATGATTTTTTAGCTTTTATATTTTTTAAACGATAAAGTTTAAAAATAATAATAATATATAATTCGCTATAATAATAAATACGTTATAAAATAATTCGCTTGTGTTACTTCACCCAGGTAAAATGTATGTCATAAAAAAATATAAAATTTATCTATTTCCTGTTAACTATTTTATGGAATTTTATTGACTCGCTGTAAAAAAATGTTAGTAATTGTTTTCTTTAAATAGAGATTGTTCTTCTTTTAAATGTATAACATTTACTTATTAATTTACGTCTACAGATTGTTACAAATTACGCTTCATAATTGTGCCGAGTTACAGTCACCCACAAATATAGGTAAATTATAGATTTTTATACTATAACTACTTATTAAATACCATACAAAAAATACTGTTGTTGATAGTAGATGATCTTTATAGCGTCACCGGCTTGCCGGCTTAGGATGACACGGTTTTAAAATTATAATCAAAGTTCAACACATTGGTGCTGCGCAACAAACATAATTGCGATGAAGAAATGCACAAAAACGAAATCATTATGCGAACCTGAAAACTACGTAATATGACTGTGTAAAAGTAAGACAGCCAACATTACTTTTCTACTGCGCCGTGCACCACGCATGACGGTGACAGGACAGTGCGCAAAAGCGAGATAACAAATCAGTCTCGGCGGCGTACTACACGTGATCGCGACAGCGATAATTACATGTCTATGAATGAATTTTTACTACGCCGCTACCGCAAGCGATTATGGGTGACAGAGCGGGTCTTTCCGCGAGTGTACCTACAAAGATCTAAGAAAACAGTGTAGAACTCAATAAAGTATTGATTGATTGATTGGTTGTTTAGGACCTTTTCTAGGACATAACATAATACTGAGACTACTATTGGACGGTAGTTGGCCGGGTCTCAGCGACCCCCTTTTATGGGCACCGGTTGAATGGTGGCATCTCTCCAAGTTTCCGGCATACGCCCAAAGAATACGAGATTTGGTACAAACGCGTGAGACGGGAGACAACTCTGCTGCAAATTTTAAAAGTACAACTCCTGGGATGCCATCGGGTCCACTAACTTTCCAGACATCGAATGATTGCAATTCGGCGCGATACTCACGCTGCCTGATTTTAACAATGAGGCTGCACCGATACGGGAGTTAGCCGCAAAGAGTTGCCAGTAAAAATTTCATAATACAAGATGGTGGACTCGCCTTTTTAAACTAAATCGATATGGGTTTTTGAGGGTGCTGATTTCGAATAAGTACAACTTCAATTTTTGGGATCCAAGATGGCGGTCTTGAATTTTCCAATAAAACCGACATGGGTGTCAAATTCATGATTTTCGTGGGGGCTGATTTAGAATGTAATATTAATATCCAGATACAAAATGTCGGACTGGCTTTTTTCAATAAAATCGACATGGATATCGTATTCCCATGAATATCCCTTCGGAAACCATTTTCTGAAGGTGCTGATTTCAAATACAACATAATTTTTGATGTCAGTAGTTTTTGCGTGATTGTGACGTAATCGTCAAACGAGAGTCACTAAGCTCTAGCAGTAAATGCTCCTTTTGAGAAAGGAAAGAAGAATATAAAGTGCAAATACTGTGGGCAACTAGGACACAAAGTAAGAAAATGAATAAAGCCACAACCAAACGCAAAATTTCTGAAAATGACAAGTGCTTATACAATGACAAAGATAACTGGTATCAGAAAGTGGAGCAACAAGTCATGTCACATACAGAAGGGATTTGTTCCATACATTTAAAAGCTTTAGATCGGAGATCACTGTAACTGTAACAACGGCGAGTGGTGCAAAGGTTAATGCCACTGGCAAAGGTGACATAAGGCTGGAAGCCACAGTTGGTAGTCATAAAGGTATGATAACCCTGTGCGATGTATGGTGTGAGCCGTCACTACAGAAAAATCTGTTCTCGTTATTAGCAGCGCAAGATAGATTACCACAAGCTTATTTGAATCTGAACCTGAATTCTGTAAATTAAAAACAAAAGTCGTAATCAAAGTCACAGGTAAACGGAAGGAAAGAGGAGGTCTTTTCAAACGTTTGAAGTTAAAACTTTGACAAGCCATGATTCATTGCAGATATTTCATGAAGGGTTAACACATCAAAGTAAGTCTCATTAACATGATATTTTATTGAAAATATATTTTTTATTTTATTTATCAAATTATTTCTCTGCCTGTCGATAAACTTATCTTTGCAAGGTGAATCTTGGAAATAACACCTCTAAGCTCATTTTGTAACTTTGCACACTGTTATGCCGGTTTTGTAAACTCAATATTTTCCATAATCCCATAAAAAAGCCAGCCGCATACCGTGACCACAACGCGTTGTGAGCTACTTTTTTGCTCAATGAGCGTTTTCTGTTTTTGAGCGTAACACAAACACTTCTGTCTGCAAAGCTATGGTGGTGTATCGTACGCAAGGTCTGTGGAGAAGTCCAAGTTTGTTTTGTACCAACGGCACAACATGAATAGGTATGCTAATAAGACTGACATGACGTGGTGTGGTGATCGGATTTAATCAGTGTGTTAATTTACTACAGGATCATAATTTCTTTTGTTTTAGTTCGAGCCGGTGAATCTTTAATGAAACTAGTATCAGATATAAAACAGTATTTGATATTAAATGATTTCCCTTCTGTAAATGAAGCTATAACACAAAACTCAAAATTATTTCGAACTAAACAGCAAGAATGTGATCAAAAATTAATGTCACTCCGTGATGATATTGCTGCAGATTTGTATGATTTAGAAGATGAATATTTTACAAGTATATACAAATAAAGATACCCTAATATTAAAACGGTTTTTTTTATGCTGGTGCCTTTAATGGACATCATTTTGTAGTCAGCAAATCAACTTACAACCAATAATATAGTCTTAGATAGAATAATGACGCCAATAAACTGCGTCTTAACATGGTCTAAACCACAGAACATAGAAAGAGGTTAGAAGGGCGTTCATAGAACCGAACCGTACGGGAACTGATGTTACCGGCTCGCCCCCACTACAATTCCACCTAATGGATAATAGCCAATCAAAGGACGTGACATGAAACAATCGAACCAATAAGTGCTCACACTCGAGAGCAACGACGCAATCACAACCAAGTTTTGGTCAAGTTATGAGCATTTGCTCACACAAAACTGTGGCGCACCCGCCCCGCCCACAAGGCCCTCCTATCTTTTTCTGTGTTCTGTGGTCTAAACAGACACAAAAACAGTATCTGCTGAACTCCGTCGTGAAGAGGTATGTACACGGGTTATTAAGGTGGCGCCTACTCAGAGATTCGAATTTAAGCAAAAAAAGTTTGACGATGAATGAGGGGCGTATATAAGAAAAGATAAAAAATAGATGAAGGGAAAGAAGGTGAGTTGTTAGAAAATATGAAGAAATTGACAGAAGAAAGTTTTAATAAAATGAGTAGGAACGAATGAAAAGATACAGAAACTAGAAGCGAAATGTGTGTCAGGAAGAGGAAGCACGAATGACTATAGCCTCATATGTAATTTTAAAACAAAATGTAATACTTAATCAATGGCTATATACTGTTTTAAACTTTCATTGTTACTATAGGTATAACAATAGTAATTTATGTTATTTACAGGGTTGTAACCATGTATGAACCTTGTTTTTAGCGAGTCTCCAATATTTCGGTATTGTTGCAAGCGCCATTATCATGGAGTAACTGAAGTAACTGCGGGTAAGATGTTATTGGCAAACATGTCGTCGTCTACCTTCCGACAAAGTCTTTTATTGTGTCCGATAACCCGTACCAGAAGACAACTTTTCCTTGGAAAATACCTGGAGTGTAGAAGATCTATTGTAGCTGTGGCAGTACAAATATTGGCCAAACAAAGCGAACAATAGCGTACCGAATGAGGGAACACATAAAAGCAAGAACGAATAACGATACGCAGAAATTAGCAATCAAGAATACAACAATAAAACCAGAATAATAAAAAGTTTAGTTTCGTGATCGGATACTGTGCGTGTTGTGTGTCGAGAAGAGTTTCGGGTCAATAGTTTGAACGTGACCAGTCCAGTGGTACGGGTATCAAACGCAATAAAAGACTTCCTCGGAGGGTAGACTGCCAATAACATCCTACCTGCAATTACTTCAGCTACGTTCGTGATCATGGCATGGCGCTTGCAACCAGAGACGTGACATAGGTATCTTCATCTTGTATTCCAAATACTTTTTCGAAATTTATCTTTTATTCAAATACTTTTTTCCAGTATCTAAAAAATAATACTGAAAAAATTAAAAAAAGTTGTAGTATTTTGAAGATACTTTTTTTTTAATTTTAAATTTCAAATTAATATTTTCAAAACGCTTAACTTATCCATCAACTTTATTCACCACGAAAAGACAATCTAAGTTCATATGTTGCCGTCTCGTTCACATAAATGTTATTATTTATATAGGGTGAAATTGAATGTTTCAATGAAACTTCGTGAGATTGTTGTGTTATGTGTATAGAGTATGCCTGATTTTTTTAAATATTTTTTTTCATTTTTTATTTGGTTATTTTTTTGTCATTTCTTATGAGTAATTATTCATTTTAAACACGTCTCCATAGAAGTTGTAAAACAACTTAAATTAAGCACTCCTAAAAAAACGGAAACTTAATGAATGCCTCCAGTCGAGATCAGCGCCGGCCAGGGCGACGACCGGCGGACGCCTGTGTAGGTACCTACTACACGCACAGATGACTCGGCGCTTACCTACTTTATGCTTTGATTCCATACTATTTAAAAACATTACAATAAAATAGTCTTAGATGCTATATTATAATTATTTATTCACTGATACACAATACCTTTGAATATTATTTCATAAAGCACAGGTAATTAATCAATAAAATAAATCTTCTGTTAGAGCAATTAAAAATCCTATAAAGCTAATATGACTGTTACGATTTTAAATCGGTAAAGCCTGTCTGTTAGTGTAAGAACTTCTTTTTTATTGTTAATGTTAGTTGCTTCGTTTAATTAAAACTTAAGAACAAACGGCTTATTTAAAATTGGGAAAAATCATACAGAGCAAATCGGTATAACTTACGAGCTTGTGAAGGAAGGGACTCTTCGTGTCTGATTTGCCCACGTCATGAAATTCCGAACACATTTAATCACAGCCACAGTCACACACACACACACATAATAATATGTTGTTTTGCGGCAAGCACGGGCGGGCGGCGCGCCGCACGCTGGCAAGAAACATGCAGCCCTAGCGCCGGTTGCGGCGTCTTTGATGATGTGAATTCCGCCCACCTCTCCTCTTCCCCGCGTGCGGTGCTTTACTTTGATTGCATGCAAAGTGCAGTCGCAAGAATATCAATCGCGCGTGGGCGTGCGCATATTTTGACTTAGTGACATACACTGTGATAATTTCATTATGCCTCGGTATACAAACCAAGAATATTTAGAGATGGTGTACTGCTATCGCGAGTGTGACGAAGTAGGTTTGGTTTACGAATGAGTCCCCAAACCATAGAAGGTGCATTTTGTGCAGTGAGTAGTGATAGGGACACTTTAAAAAAGGTGGAAAGACACGTCTGCAAACGTGCCTACCTTTGTTTGCAGCAAAATGGTGGTTTATAGCAACAATTTAAGTGACTTTTTATTGCTAGTGTAAATACTTTTTGATTTGAAACAACTAATTAGTGTACTTGATTGATACTATTATTGATACTCCAGTGTGATTGATTTGATAAAAAGTTCTAGTGAAAAAAATTAATATGTTCCTCGTTGTACCTACCTACAAAAACTACCTACCTACCGTTGTACCAAAAACTATGAGGAGCTCGATGGCGCAAGTGGTTAGCGCGTTCGGCTGCGATCGTTGAATTTAAGCAACTTTCGCAGTGGTCGGTCATTGGATGGGTGACCAAAAATTACTATCTCGAGCTCCTCCGTGCTTCGGAAGGCACGTTAAGCCGTTGGTCCCGGCTGCAACTGCAGTCGTTAGCACCCACCAATCCGCACTGGGCCCGCGTGGTGGGTCATGGCCCAATCTCTCTATTCCATCCATAGGGAAGGCCTGTGCCCCAGCAGTGGGGACATTAATAGGCTGATGATGATGATGATGATATTTAAAATCTAAATACAACAACACGAACATAATCGTGGCCGAAACCTGTCCTAAGGCGTTTTGCAGACGACGGGGCGGGGCGGGCATTTTGTCCGCGAAGCAATAAAAACCGCGTCTGCCCGTCGATGTCTGCGGCTGCCCGCGCCGCGTACACAAAGCACACGACGGGCAGAGGCAGTCAGTTCATGACGTTCGTTCTAGTGAATAGTCCATCACTAAAAAGCGCGTGGCGCGGACTGCCCCGCGCCGTCGTCTGCGTTACTGCATATAAACTGGTTTGTATGATCCACGGCGGGCAGCCGCGGACATGCCGCGCCGCCAGTGCCCGCCGGGCACCTGCGGCGCGGTCTTTTTGCCCTCTGTGTGCGTTTGTAATATAGGATTCACTTTGTGCTATCGTTCGCGGCAAAATTGACCGGCCCGCCCCGCCCCGTCGTCTGCAAAGCGCCTAAAAGTGCATTGGATGATCCACGGAACTCCGTAGGATTGATCGCGTGACCTAAACAATATAGAAAAGTATATTGGAAAATAATATTTAATTAATCATTGAAAGTCACCATTAATATCCTACTTAATACTATGTAAAAGATTTTATCTTTGTTACTCAATCACGAAAAAAACGGCTGAACGGATTTTTATAAAATTTGGCACACATATAGTACACCTGGAAGCCATTGATTTGTAACATTAAAAAATTGGTATTTAATTTAAATATATAAAAAAATTGCAAATGTCTGCGATGTCTCGTTTCTTCTTTACTAACTTAAATAAACCTTAAAATTTAAGTAGGTATCTTTATCTTAAAAAAGTATTTGGACATACGTATCTTGTATCTGTTATCTAAATACTTGACTACCTAGTATCTTGTATTTTGCTCTACTTGCAATAGTGCCGAAATATCGGAGACCAGCTAAAACAAGGTAGGCATACATATACCTCGCAATCCATAACAGTAACATAAATTACTTCATTTAATGGCTGTTCTTATCCCAAATAAATAAATGTGATATTGAGAGAGGTACGAAAGGACACATGTTCAAAAAACAAGGAGTAGGTACCCCTACTTTGTTGCATTGCACTCTAATTACAGTAGCTTCCACTGAAAAAAGTGGAACAAGATGGGCAGTGGAATGAGATGGTAAGGCTGAAGCAAGCTAAAGGTATTTTTAAACTGAAGTGGTGATAAAACTGTGCGAAAGAGGAGGAAGGTATGAAACTGAATGGAACAAGTTTTTAAATTAAATGTCTAAGGCCCGTATTACAGAATGACAACTTGTAACAATTTTTGTTATCACCGGCTATTTCAGGGCTTACATGAGACTCGAAACTTATTTAATTTATAATCAGGGCGCCGTGATACTGTAATTTGAGGGAGATAAATGAAAATGTCTAAAACCGCAGTGAACAAGATATTATATTGTCAAAAAAAAAGATTCAGATCTTATTTCATCATGGTTAAAACTTAATACTAGTCACATTCAACTTAATAAATACATAGCTATATTTCCTCAAAGATTTTTCTTTTGATTTAAAGATATTCATACATTCAAGATCATGTGCTAATACAGTAATACTCAATTTAAGTTTCTTATATAAACAAATTATTAAACAAGTTATAAAATATTAAGTTTTGGAAATTTAACAATAAAAATTTGTTATGTTTTTATAATGGCTTTACAGTTTACCACTACAAATCCTTTATCACGTTAAACAGAAATTGTTCTCCGGAGTATGCACTGGTTAAATATCAAGAAGTTATAAGTTTTACTTAGCTTGGCAAGATCATGGGAGCATCAGGATGACTCAAATGTCCTCAGGGATGAAGCAGGAGTTGCTGTCATCACGTGAACCCGTCACTTTTTGCTCAAGAAAGCTTCACAGGCTCATATATATATATATTTCCAAGGAGATTCCAATCAGGATCAAGTAATTGTGATTATTACTGTTATTAATTAGCCAAATTAATGGACCTAGAACCAATTACACATTTTTCTATAATTCAATAAAAAAAACTAACTGGACCTACAGCCTAACGAATCAAATGTATTGAACTTACCCGTTAATCCGGGGAGAAATATCAAGTAAATAATGCACTGACTACCACTGCTAGTCTTAATGCTATTTTCTAAGTATGGTCTTCAAGGTTCTATCAGCCAAAAGAGACCGAATTTGGTTGTGCACTGCTATTTATAGGCTACTACAACACGTGACAGCGTCATTGCAAATTTCTCTCATATCACCATATTTGGTGTGAGGAATCAAACGGACCGGTTTTGCTGACTCCGCCTCTCACTGTTTCCAGAACATTAATGTGACGTCACATCCAATTTTGCATCTCATTTAAAAAATTACACACTAGCTCCATCTAACTTACATTCCAAATGCAACTACTAGGTTCACACATATATTGTACTTGTCCGTTGCTTTTCAAAGTGGACTACGATATTGAATAATTTATATGCATGATGATAGATGGCGCTGAATAAATAATAATATTTCTACGACTTAATATTTAAGAATTATATTGCTATGTTTTAACGTTATTAAATTTAATTGCTACACAACATCCCCCTTATCTCAAAAAATTTTTCCCAAAAAAAATTTTATTAATTAACCTGCAACTGACTTACAGACAAATCAACAATACTAAGTATTAGCCAAGATAAAAAAAATTTAAACTTATATACGTGAGTATCCATTTATTTACTCCACATAATGTTCTAAACTCTAAGTCAATAGCAACAATTAAATATTTGCTGTTTAATGATTTTTCTTTTAGTTTCATGTAAATACCTTTCTTGGATCTATTATCCAGGGGTATAACATGACTTTTCTGTTCATCTTATGAACTTAAGGTAGTTAAGAAAACAACTCAAGATTAAAGAAGTTTGTATGTTTTCAAACTCAAAAGATTAAGATTATTTTCCAACAATCTTCCTATCTTTAATTATCAAGTCTAAAGTATATGTCCACTTCCTTATGCTTATGCCTTTCTTACATCAAGACCTATTTTTCTATTAAGTATTAAAATAAATTGCACGTGCTTATTTTGGAAAACACTTTTCATACATCACGCATTTCATACTACTCTCATACTCATATGCATATCAGTAAACACAACTTGACGAAAATAATTTTATCAGAAATTTTTTTTTGTGTTAAAATATTAAAATTCCTCGAAATTTCATTTAAGCATTTTTTTTAAAAGTGACCATATAGGTTAAAAAAAGGTTGTAAATAAATATTTATTTAGTTAAAAGAGAAAAACAATTTAATTTTCAGGCAGGTTTCGAACCGTAGCCCACAGATTTCCATATGCACTCTTCCTATACCATAACTCTTCTTAACCAACCGTTTAATACTGAAAGTGACTAAAATAAGCATCCTATGTGGAATTCAAAGATTTGTTAGTTCTGTTGTTCAGAATATTTTAGTATATCTTTAATATGATAATTACCTAAACATTTACCATTTAAATCGGTTAAAGTATAAACTAAAGGTGATAATTTAGCCGTCACTACACATTTAATAAATTTTGGTGCTAATTTGGAAGAAAAATTCTTTGCCTTATTGGATAAATAATAAGTACGTTTATACACTATCTGGCCAACTCTTAATTCAATGTGTCTTTTTCTGAGGTTATATTGTTTTTCGTTCCGTTGGTGGGCAACAATCAAATATTTCCTCACCTTTTGGAAGATATTATTAAGTTCAAGCAACTTTTTCCCATACTCCAATGTACTGTCTGAGGTAATTTGATCTAACGGACATGGAGGGAAGGAATTTAAATATAAATTACCATCTATTATATACTCTCTACCATGGACTAGGAAATAGGGTGAAAATTTAGTTGCTTCATTCACAGCCGTGTTTAAAGCACATTGCAATTCTATTAAGTGTTCATCCCACCTTCTATGCTCGGATTTTACATAACAGGCTATCGCATGAACTATGTTTCTATTTGCCCGCTCAGCTTGGTTCGTTTGGGGATGATACTTAGGATTGTAATATATGTTTGGTACATTATATTTAGTTAACAGCTGTCTAAAATGGGAGCTAACATATTGTGGACCGTTATCTATAAAGATGGTCTTACAAACGCCATGGACTAAAAATACATATTTTTCTATAAAGTTTGCTACAGCCATGCCTGTTGCTGACCGTATAGGGTGCAACATGACATATTTACTAAAGTAATCTGAAACAACTATTAAATAAGTATTTCTATTCCTTGAATTTGGAAAGGGTCCCAATAGATCACAACTAATGGCTTCGAATGGCTTGGTCACTTTCTTAGGACTTCCCATGAGACCGGGACGTGCCGTGTTCACAGGTTTGTATTGCTTACACGTCTCACATTCACTCACATACTTTTTCACACATTCGTATAGGTGGGGCCAGTAATAATGTAAGGCGATCCTCCTATGTGTCTTCATGACACCTAAATGTGCACTAGTAGGGTCATCGTGATATTTCCTAAGAATTGCCGATCTATTTTCTTCAGGAACTACCAGTTTCCAATCAAATTCGCTAGTAAGATCATATTTATTTTTCGAATATCTATATAAGTTTCCATCTTTTTCCATGAAATTAGGAAATTTACGTGGGTTATTCTTTACTGCGTTTAACATATAAGAGTACCAACTATCTTTTGATAAATCTATTTCTATTGAATCTAATTTAATACGTGACAAAGTATCCGGGAGGATATGATCCCGACCCTTCCGGTGTTCTATTTTAAAGTTAAATTGACTAAGACGCATGCTCCATCGTGCTAAACGACCTGTGGGGTTCTTTAATTTATAAAACCACAACAGTGAAGCATGGTCTGTGACTATGGTACATTCCTGACCTTCAACATATTGTCTAAATTGTTCTAATGCATAAATAACAGCTAATAATTCTCTCTCTGTTGTACTATAATTAACTTCATTTTTATTAAGTGAGCGGCTACAGTAGGCAATAGGGTGTTCCACTCCGTCATAAGACTGGGTGAGAACGGCCGCCGCTGAGTATGCAGATGCGTCAGTCAAAATACGGAAAGGGCGCGAATAATCTGGCATTTTTAAAATAGGGGCAGAAACAAGGGCAGTTTTAAGCAAATTAAAGGATTTCTGTGCCTCAGAGTTCCATTCAAAATCCACATTCTTACGGGTGAGTTTACATAACGGTTTGCTGATTTCAGAGAAATTATTCACAAATCTTCTGTACCAACCTGCCATTCCAAGGAATCTTTTTACCTCCTTGGGGTTCGAGGGTGTAGGATAGTTAAGGATTATATCTACTTTACCAGGGTCCGTTCTTAAACCATGTTTATCAATGTAATACCCTAAATATTTGAGCTCTTTGCGACAAAACTGTGATTTTTTTTTATTTATTGTCAGGCCTGCTTCTTTCAGGCGCTGATATATTTTCT